AAATGTTTACTCCCTCTTCATTTTCGCCCTCTCCAGACCACAGAAATATGCAACAACTAAGTGAGCACGAAGAGCGAGATAAACTGATAAAGGAGGGAGTGATAGTGGAGGAGGGGTTGGAGAGGCAGAGCGTTATCTCATTGATGTACAGCACAGAGCAAATATTATGAGGTGACAGAGAGACAGAGTTATAGAGTGGTCCCATGCTTCACAGGGGTATTAAGTGTCCCCCTCCTCTTTCTCTAAACAACTTGCCAACTCTCCCATCGCCGCCATAAAACAGTTTGAAGATCTCTTTGTTCTACTTCTCCGATATTTTTTGTGTCCTTTAAAGTCTTCTGCTGTCAAGCCTACATCTCCTCTCCTCTCCTCTCCTCTCCTCTCCTCTCCTCTGCACTGATTGGCTGGTTGGGTCGCAGCCAAGCGCTAGAGGGTGGAGACCTGTGCTGTCCTGGCACTGTGCATGTTGGTGTGTGTGTGTGTGTGTGTGTGTGTTAGGAGGATCAGTTTCCTATATGCCGTCATCATGTGCCATTTGATAGGAGCCGTGATTGGTCATTTGAGACATATTTAGCTGTGGTGATCTTTAAAACGCACGCACAGGCGCGTCACAGGAAAGGAGTGGTGCTCTCGTGATTGTTTAGTTGCCCTTTCATATTTTTCTAATCTTTAAGAAAATGAATGGAGGAGAGTGGCAGGGCAGGAGGGAGGAGGGGAAGTGACAAGTCAATCAAAAAAATGAAGGAAGGAAAGGAGTAAGTAAACAAGGGACTAATCAAATCGTATTAACGTTTACCGTATTGTGTTTAGTGCCTAAAAATAGACTAACCTAATAACTGTTGTTGCATCAAAACTACCCATGCATGCAACTGCAGCACAGCACAAAAATTACCATAAAGAAACTGTGAAAGAAATAATTTTATTCAAAGCAATAGTTTGCTATAATTTGCTTTCTTGCAGATAATTACTAACATGACTACGCCAGATGTTTTGTTACAAAGAAACATCTGGGATGTTGCTGTTGGAAACCTTTTAGAAAAGGAACTTACAAAACATACTCAGCAGGTGACTGGATGCGCCATCTGTTTATCACCGTATCACGCAAACTTCCACCAATCATATTAAGGAACCATATAACATAGCCAAACTCTTACTGAGGCCAGTCAGGAGAAAACCCTTCAGTGCTGTTCTTCGCTCTTATTTCAATGAAGAAATACCCTCCAGTTCTTCGTTAACCTCTATGGGAGCAGCCATTGTTGGTTAAGGAACAGTGTCCTTAGGGTGCGTCACTGCCAGTACTTCCTGTAAGGAAGCTGACTGGTCTGTTGCCACTGTAGTTCGGCCACAAACATATAGATTAAAGCCTGGGAAGGTGGATTCTCGTGTGATCAATTCCACTCTCCTATCTGTCAGACTAATATAAGGCCACAGCTAGCAGCCGGTTAGCTTAACATGATGATTGGAAACAGACAAAACAGGTAGCCTGACTTTGACTTCTGAAAGTTAAAAATCGGCCTGCACCTCTAAAGCTCACTAACAATGTCTTATATTGTTAAAGTGTAAAAATGACAAGTTGTGGTTTTCAGTTTCAAAGAAACTTTAACTTGTTGCTTTTACACTTTTGTACCGATTAGACAAACACAATATGTTAATTGGTGAGCTCGAGAGGTGTTGGTGGGGGGATTGGTTATCTGTTTCCATCACATTCAAATCAGTGCTTCTCTGGTTGGTAGAAAGAAAAAATTATCTAATCTAAAACATCTAGCGATTCACTGAAACGACCCAAAACGCTGTACAGTACACATGCCAGGCCTGTTTGTGGCGCTGTGACGCCGCCACACCAATACACTAAAACCCGAAAGAGAAGCCATGGAGCATGCGCTGTTTACAAACAAGTAGTAGTCGTCCGCCATTGTTGTTGTTGTTATGACGCATCTAGCATTCAATTCAATTCAATTCAATTTTATTTGTATAGCGCCAATTCATAACAGAAGTTATCTCAGGACACTTTTCAAATAGAGCAGGTCTAGACCGAACTCTTTAAAACATTATTTACAGAGACCCAACAGTACCACCATGAGCAAGCACTTGGCGACAAGGGCAAGAAAAAACTGTCTGTTAAAAGGCAGAAACCTAGGACAGATCCTCCGGCTTTAGGTGGGTGGTCGTCTGTCTCGACCAGTTGGGGTGAGAGAGAGAGAGAGAGAGAGAGAGAGAGAGAGAGAGAGAGAGAGAGAGAGAGAGAGAATCTATCCGGATTCGAAAAAAACGTATTCGTGTGGACAGGCCCCTAGACTCAATAGACCAGACTGCATTGCACCAGCAAATATGCTATGTTTTGAATAAAGGGTTTCTAAATTAGAAACTCTATCGGCTATCTGCCCATGTGAGTGCAACATTTTCTAAAAGTGGTAAGGAACTGCATTCTGGGAAATGTAGGAAATCACTCACTGAGGCAGAAGTACTTGAGGCAGGCTGAGGGAAAGTTCTTCAGTCCACCAAAAACAGCAAATTAAAGTAAATTGTAGCACTTTATCACAACATGACTCCTGGAAAACTCTCACCCAGACTCATTTGAAGCAGTAATGAGCCTGCAGCTGAGTCTGAAGTGATAAATGGAGTGAGCTGTGTTTGGGCTTAGCATTAAGAGATGAATGGAGCGCTACAGCTGCCATGACTAGCTCAATATTACACACTGAAACACACAGATACACACACGCTAACTGAGCAGAAGGCCGGAATATGTTAGGAATGTGCTCTCACAGATGACCGACCTTCACACGTACACGCGCACCACGTTGTGTACTTGAATACACAACTATGTGCAAAAACATGCACATATCACTTTCACGTTCGTACACTTTTCTGATCACATGATGACACATTTGTACTCATCTTGAGTGAAGATTTGCTCGTGAAGATATGTTCACGCTCCTGTGTCACATGCATCTATTATTGTGCTTTCCCGCACACACATGCACACACCTACACACACACTCACATACACCCTGTCTTGCTCAACAGGTCAGGATGTTTCACAAGTCAGGACCTGCATGTCGAGGATATGCCTGTCTTTATATTGCTGTGACTGTGTGTATTTGAGTGTGTGTGTTTTACATTACAAGCCAGTGAGAAAATGTTAACTGTCAAAGACCCACACACACACACACACACACACACACACACACACAGGCGGAGACAAAGTTGTAGTCTCATTACTGTGGTCTCCAAGGAGTCACCATGGCAATGGCAGAATGAAACCATGGCCTGTGGGAGAGGAAATGTGTGTGTGTGTGTGTGTGTGTGCGTGTGTGTGTGTGTGTGTGTGTGCGTGTGTGTGTGTGTGCGCGTGCGCGGTGCATGTGTGTCCTACAGACCCAGAAGCGGTTTATTCCCCCAGGAAGTAAGCTATTCTCCACAGGCCAATCAGAGGACAAAGTTTGAGACAGAGTTTAATCCAATTGGTCCAACATCTCTGACCTTTATTACTTGCGGCCAGTCCCAGAGGAGTGGACAGCAGGCAGGGTGTTGACATCTCAGCTATAGTGAAGTAATGAAAGCAGGAATGAGGAAGACCTGAGTTTCAATACTTAAGCCAAGGACAGAGACTTTACAAGTTTGTCATTGTTGTTATTTTTGGAAAGGAAATCTAGAACATGGATAATACAAGGGTGAGGAAACTTGACAAACTGACAACTCACAGGTTCAGACAAAGAATAACAGGAAGAGAGACATAAACATTTTAATTAATGAAACATCTTAAAAATGCCACGGTGAGGTCAGCCACACAGAGATGGAGAGAAAGAAGACGTGATGAGTGACACAGATGGTGTAAGAAAGCTTGGGGTGAACCAGTGCAGGCCTAAACAAATATTTACAGTGCGTCCTCCTCTGTGTTTATTGCGGGGTTTATGACCACACTCTCCTCCGCTAGTCGATCCCTGGGCATTTTCGTATCTTGCTTCATCTGCGCTTTCACAGACCTTGCCGTCCTCCCTCGCTGTTGTGCTAGTACAACTCTTTTCCTATCTTCTGTGTGTGTGGTTTACTTGTTTGCATGAGTGTGCATGCATGAATATGTGTATTTGTATTGCAGCATCAGGCATGCAAATCTACTCCAAAGGTGTGTGTGTGTGTGTGTGTGTGTGTGTGTGTGTGTGTGTGTGTGTGTGTGTGTGTGTGTGTGTGTGTGTGTGTGTGTGTGTGTGTGTGTGTGTGTGTGTGTGTGTGTGTCTGATAAAAAATAGATAAGTGGATTTAATGGAAGGAGGAGAAAGCCTAGACAGAGTATAAGCTTTTAGCCTGAGGAATTAATTTCGACAGAGAGCTTTTATTCAGGTTTTTTTTCTGTTTCACATCCATCCAAAAACACACTTTTGTTCCATGATCATTTTCACTTGCTGCATCTTACGTCTTACATTGCAAACCGCAAAAAATAATGTCACGCACCATGGTCAGTAAACATAGTTATCAGTTAAAGTGCATTTCCTGTTCACTTATCTTCTGAACGCTTCATTAATTATCACAGGTTTGAACTGAAGGAAAAGGCTAAGAGTTCTGTGAGCCCGTAATAAGATCCAGCTGTGCTTTGAGCTCAGTGCTAACGACAGTGGGCTAACATGCTCACAAAGACGATATCAACATGCTAAGCAGGTAGCAGTTTAATGTGTTAGCATTCTAGCTATTAGCGCTTAACACAAAGTACGGCTGAGGCTCATGGTGATATTTCCAGTTTTGTAGGTATGTGGTGAAATTTTCAGCTGATGATGGCAGGGGAAGTTAAGGGACAGATGAAAAAAAAAGCAGATGAACCACTCTTCCCCCACATAGCATTACAACAAATCTCTTCCTCCTTCCATGATTCTCAACAGTGATACTGAATAATACGCCACTATAATATATTCATATAAGTTACAATTACTGATGCTCATATTGAATTTCTGTCCTGCACACACTCTTCTACTCATCAAGTGATCGACTGACATCTGTCTGTTTTTCAGGAGGTGGAGATACTCGACATGAGCACCATCAGGGACACGAGAACAGGAAAATACGCCAAACTGCCAAAGGTTGGTAACGTGTGTGTGTGTGTGTGTGTGTGTGTGTGTGTGTGTGTGTGTGTGTGTGTGTGTGTGTGTGTGTGTGTGTGTGTGTGTGTGTGTGTGTGTGTGTGTGTGTGTGTGTGTGAAAGCTGTCACCTCCTGCTGTTGATGACTTCATTCTCTGATCAGAATGATGCTCAAGTGTGACTGTCACCAAAAGATGTGTGTGTGTCCACTGTATGCGTGTGTTTTCTCTCTCAGCTGATGGTTTAAAGGTGACAGAGCGCTAATGAGCCTGCTGACAGTCAGATGGACTGTCAGACAGGAAGTGATATAAGCAGTGACTGTTGGCGAGGAAGTCGTTGTGTAAGAGTGTAGATGCGGCCGACAGAGACGCTGATATATTGGTGGTTAACAGTTCAAACGTGTGGATGTGTTCATGTCGCGCTCGTGGCTCAGATTGTTTAACAATAAAAGACTGTTGGTAGCGTTTCACATTATTACTTCACTTACACTCTGTAATTGAAGTAATGAACACTAAAATTTGGCTCTGCTTTCAATCAGAGAGTGTGAGAGGAGATGCCTGCAATAAAGCCTTAGCCATGGTTTACCAAAACTGCATGTTCAGAAATATTGTCTAGTTACTGTGTGACATTTAGGGGTGAAAAGAAAGATGTTGTGGCTAGGTTTTTAGACATCTGTCTCTGTGATTTCTGCCTCCACCCCACAGATTTGTAAAATTAATTTTAAAGCTGCTATAATCAAGATTTTCCTATTAACAATGGATCATACCACTATGCGAAAGGGGTGATTCGTTGCGTTCTTTAACTGATTGTTTTAGTTGTTGTTTCTGTCGTTTAAGCTGCAGCTGTTTCCTGCAGAAGTATCTCTAATGAACTCATTTTACTCTTGCAAACTGCAGACAGACAATGTTAGCAACTAGCTGGTAAATACAGTGGAGCATTTATCAGCTAAAGAGCCAAATAATTCCCTCAGGAGTTGATAGAGCCCAGACCAGAGCTGAAAGGAGAATGAATATTAGACTTACATTTGTCAGGTGGGCAGAACTCCAAATAAATACTCCAAATGTAGCGCGGTATGAGCTGGAGGTGGAAATAAGCACGTTTGTTAATAAGTTTGCCGTATGAGCTTTAAAAGATGATAATATATCGATGTTGTATTTGTAGTATGTTCAACAACATTTATATCCAGAAGCAGTGTTCCTGTCGTTCTGGAAAATCCACAGAACTCACTGTCAGCAGTTTTACGAGGACTATTTCTTTGGTAGAACGTAGTCTGTGAATTCTCTTTAGTAACACTGCTGTTTCTGAAAACAATGTTTTGTTTTTTCATAATTGCGTTGAATTGATCCTTTAAACTCTCGCTGCTGAATGACATAGTACATTTTGTGCACTGCTTTGGCAGTACTTTGCTCGATAAATAGTCATCCAAGTTAGTTTATTCAATTGAAATGAAAGAGAAACACAATCGAGAGGGAGTGATGGAGAGCATGCCTAATTGATAGAGAGACTTTGATTGTTGGAGAGAGTTAGTGGATGAGAAAGTTGTCCAAAGAGGAGGAAAGAGTCGTTCGTTTAATTAGATCAGAGTGCTACACCACATGCATCACATTTACTGTTCTCAGGAGACTGGGAGATGGACGAGGAGCGGGAAGGATGTGGAGTTCAGAAGCACAAGTCAAACCACTGTTGTGTCCAATATATTGTGTGTGTGTGTGTGTGTGTGTGTCAGGACCCGAAGCTGCGAGAGGTGCTGGGCTTCGGTAAGGGTGACCACGTCGAAGGAAAGCTGGTAACTGTCGTCCATGGCAACGACCTGGTCAACACGTCCTTCCTCAACTTCCAGGCTATGCAGGAAGACACAGCCAAGGTAACCATGGATACCGCCACCACCATCCCATAACCTACTCACAATACTTACATTTGCACATAGTATTCCTTCCTTCATTCCTTCCTTCCTTCCCTCCTCCTTAGCCCCCTCTACTTGCCTCCTTGTTTCCTCTGGCCATATGCTGATTACTCACTTTACGATGTTGACATAGTGGCATTTGCATGTTTAGGAGTTAAGACAGATTATTCCGTGTGTGTGTGTGTGTGTGTGTGTGTGTGTGTGTGTGTGTGTGTGTGTGTGTGTGTGTGTGTGTGTGTGTGTGTGTGTGTTGTGTGTGTGTGTGTGTGTGTGTGTGTGTGTGTGTGTGTGTGTGTGTGTGTGTGTGTGTGTGTGTGTGTGTGTGTGTGTGTGTGTGTGTGTGTGTGTGTGTGTTGTATATAGAAACTTTTTCACTCGGTTTTAGCATCAGACAAACAGTCAAACAACCCTGTTTTTATCATCTCGTTCCGGTCTGTGTGCGTTTCCAGATTTGGACAGATGAGCTGTTCACTTTGGCCACAAACATACTTTCCCAGAATGCATCACGGAACACCTTCCTTCTCAAAGCGTAAGAAGTTGTGTGTGTCTAATCTCAACATGAGACAGCTGTTTTAGATTTTAGATCATTATTTTTAAAGCTTTATGTCTGTTTCAGGTACACCAGGTTAAAGTTGCAGGTGAATCAGGATGGGAAGATTCCTGTGAAGAAGTGAGAAACACACACAAACAACCACTTTTTAAAGTCATACACCAGAGCCCTCAACTTCTTCTTTCCTTTCCTCTTCTCTGTATCTCTTCCACTTTCTCTCTCATCTCTTCTTTAGTTCATCTCTAGTTTATCACGGCTCACTGTTGATCCTTTCAGACTCTGCTTTCTTGTCTTTTTATTTTAATGTTGAGAACAATAATCTTTAAACGGTGAATGCATTTACTGACTTACATGATAAAATATCTCTCCAAACTCTCTTTCTTTCAGTATTCTCAAGATGTTTTCAGATAAAAAGAGAGTGGAGACGGCTCTGGAGCAGTGTGGCCTCCTCAATAACAGGGTAATCATCAGAAGCAATCACTGACCACAGGGCTACTCAAGATATGTGTACCTTGTATTGGTTCATACCTGATAATAGCTGTATAACTAACAGTCTCTCACCCTGGGGTGTTGCATAGCATTCTTTGCATGCCTTTGCAATTTAAGGAAGGCACAAAAAAAGGCTGTAGGCTCTTTGGTAAAAATATACATCTATACATTTTAAATTACTTTCAACAAGATTAAACAACAGATTAAACAAACAAGTTAATAACGTGTTAATTAGTGAGCTTTAGAGATGCTGTTTTGCTGGATTTTGTTACAGAGAAAGACTAGCTGTTTCCAGTCTTTGTGCTAAGCTAAGCTACCTGTCTGCTGGCCATACCTTCATATTTACCACGCAGACAGTATCAAACCATCTGTTTAAAGCCACATGTTTCCATTAAAATCACAGGTTTAGAAGGTAATCAGAAGGTTTGGAGTTGGATTGCCGGCTCCTTCTTCTGTATGTCCAAGTGTCCTTGAGCAAGATGCAGATCGGTGTGTCAGTGTGTGTGAGTTACTTAGTTTCTGATGAGCGGTTGGCGCCTTACATGGCAGCCTCTGCTATCAGTGTATGACTGTGTGTTAATGGGTGAATGTGACATGTGGTGTAATGTGGTCAGAAGACTAGAAAGGCGTAAGCTACATAAGTGCAGTCCATTTACCATTTAATGGATAAAGCATTTTATTTCATTAGTCAAAAACAATGGATAGACAGTGGAAATGGTAAGCCAAGTGTAATGGATGAACAGTGGAAATCCAGTATCAAAGTAATGGATGAATAATGAGCTAAAAGCAATGAAGTTGAAGGGTTCAGCTTCTGCCACAACAAGTGATTGTAGGAGTGAAAACTTGACCAAACCAACCTGAACATTGACAATTTAATTTTATGAAAAAACAATATAAATACAATATCAACCTTAGAAAGAGCAACTAAGTTAAAATACTTAGTCATGGGCTTTCTTTTATTGTATTGTCAGAATCTTTGCTTTAATGCGCATTGTAAGCAACCACAGGATTTGTGGTTTGGTAGGTAAAACAAGGTTTCGTGTTTGTTATTAGTCTGTGCAATCTTTCCTAAAAATCAGTTTGGAGTCACAAGACCTGCCTTTTTGAATAAGAGAGCAGATTGTGCAAACTGCGCTGTCAGCATTTCTCTCTGTATTGTTGTGCTCTGGTGCCACCTGCTGGTCAAAATGAAGAACAAAGAAAATGGGAGAAGACTGAGGAGGATCGGAGCCACGACTGACAATGTCATCAGTGTTCATCCTCCAGTGTTGCTGGAGGCCAACTGACTGTTAACAGGATCAAAGTGTCTCTGAAACCACCAGGCCTCTTTCTCCTTCCTTCCGTATCTTTATACACAATCCTCTCTGTTCTCTCCCAGTCGGAGGGACTCAAGCCAGATGATTTCACGTGGGAGGCCTTCCAGAAGTTTCTCGACAGCCTCTGTCTCCGGCCTGAGATACAAAGCATCTTTGAGGAAAGGTATGATACACATAGATAAAGTTTTCCCAAACACATGCTGTCATTTTTCATGATGTTTATTGCCTTTTGACAGACTAAAATGTCAACTCCCCACTGTAAATCCTTTCGTAATGATGCTCTTGTTATATTTTAAGGCTTCCCAGTAAAGCTCCCAGCATGTACCTCAGTGCCCATGCACACAGTCTTTTCAGTACGCTTTTCTCTTTCCTCCAGTGGCTCCAAGAGGAAGCCATTCATCTCTTTGGACCAGCTCATGGACTTCATCAACCGCAGGCAGCGAGACTCCAGACTGAACGAGGTGTTGTACCCCCCGCTGAAAAGAGAACAGGTCCGACAGATCATGGAGAAATATGAGACCAACACCAGCCAGCTGGAGAGGGGTCAGTGTGCTTTTCTTACCATTATTTTGTATCTTCAGTTGTGAGATTGTATGATGAAATAAAGCAGCGGATATGAATCGGCCCTGGTTTTTTTTGTCTTTAATGTGTTCTCCAAAGGTCATCCAAGAAAGTGACCTTTTAAAGCTGCTGAATCACATAACTGCACTCAAAGAGATTCAAGACACATAAATCATATTCTTTCGCTAGATAATGAGGATTCAGTGTAGATTCTACTCTATCTTCTTTTAGACTGTATCTGTTTAACCCAAAGCTGGGTTTATCAGCTGCAGCAGTACTCTGATAATTACAGGTTTATAGGTTTCGATTGATTTCCTTCACTTTTATTGCAGCAAAGTGCTTGTCCTCTTTTAAAAGCCAGAACGTAGGAAATTCTTTGCAAATTTGATGAAAATGTCCTCCACATGTTTTGCTGTGGTTGTCAGTGGATAAACTGTACAAAACTGAGGACAGAAAACACAGCCTTGGCTACCGTGAGCCGCTCTGCTTGGATACTGTTAAGCCAAAATCTGTAAGATGATCCACTATCCAGCCCACAGTTCAGTTCAGAACTAACCTGAAGCTCCCTTTTAAGTGTGTTGGTGTCTGTCCTAAAACAACAGCCGTATGCTCTTTTGGATCAGTTTACTGTTTGAGCACATTTAGTATAGCATCTTCCAGTCCTTTCACTAAAGCAGTTACGCCCATTGAGCAGATGGATGCTGGTCTGTCCATTTAAACTGAAATTTATTGTCAGCAAACACAACCTGTCCTCATCTCTCTCTCTCTCTCTCTCTCTCTCCCTTGTAGATCAGATCAGTTTGCAGGCTTTCACTCGGTATCTGGGAGGAGAGGAAAACAGCATAGTACCTCCAGAGAGGCTGGATGTCATCGACGACATGAACCAACCGCTGTCTCACTACTTTATCAACTCCTCACACAACACGTACCTCACAGGTAAAAGACACGCACATTGACATTAATGCTCAAAATCTAGCTTTATAGTTAATCTTTTGGATCCGAAACCAACTTTCCCTCCGCTTTGCTTATCTTGCCTGCCCGCAGTGGGTCAGCTGACCGGCCTGTCGTCAGTGGAGATGTACAGGCAGGTGTTGCTGACTGGCTGTCGCTGTGTAGAGCTGGACTGCTGGAAGGGCCGGCCGCAGGATGAGGAGCCCTACATCACCCACGGGTTCACCATGACCACTGAGATCCCCTTTAAGGTGGTAGTCACAGTATTTTGGCATTCACATATGATTTTGTTGTGCATTCAATCACCCAGGATTGTCCCTTCTCAATGTTTCTGTCTAGTTTGATTGTGCCACCTTGGTTAGGTTGAGTTAGTGTAAGATATTTCTCTTTTATACCACTACATTTGAGTTTGAAATGTTCATGTGAGTTTCTGCATTACATAAATGTCTGTTTTCCACTCTGTCTCTATAAAAGTGATTTAATAAATCACCAGTTCATGAGAGTTTTTACATCTGATCACAGGAAGGGCTGTATTTTTATGATTATGGTGGAATTAAAGTAAATTTCTTATATATTAGTTTTAAAGCCATACTTGTCCTCCACCAGCTGTTAAAAATATAAGAATTATGAAAGGAATCTCTTAACCTTGGTGTATTTGTGTGGTTTGGTCAGCAAGTTCTTTGTGCAGTGGATTCAGACATGCTGAATTCAGAGGCAGCAGCCACAGACATTTTGAACAAACAGAAGAAAGCAGAAGCTGAAAATCTTTGCATTTTCATCATAAAAAATAATTTGCTTCATAACTGTGTAAAAAAGTTGTGCTGTTTGATTTATAAGGTACTAGGTGGTATATCTAAACATTCATGAAACTGCCAGCAATCTGAGGAAATGTTTATTTTACCGGCTACTTAAGAGATTTTATTCAGTGGAACTCCTTTTAATGTTGTCATTCTTTCCCGGACTGTAGGAGGTGATCGAGGCAATAGCAGAGAGTGCTTTCAAGACCTCGCCATACCCCCTCATCCTGTCCTTTGAAAACCATGTTGATTCGTAAGTCGTGGGGGTTTAATTTAAGGGCCCCGTCCCATTGCGGCAGGTTAAAGTAAAACAGAAACTAACGTGTTTCTCTTGTTCTGTCAGGGCCAAGCAGCAGGCCAAAATGGCAGAGTACTGCAGGACTATCTTTGGAGACGCCCTGCTTATTGATCCACTGGAGAAATATCCGGTAAGACTGATCTCCAGTCAGATCTGACATGAAATTTGCCAATGTGTTGCACTGAATTTACTAATTTAAGCTCTGTTTTTAGTCTGAAATAAATGCATTTTAAGTGATATCTCACTGCTGTTCCTCAAGAAAAAACAAAAAACACACTCATATAATTTCACTCCGAAGTCATGGTGTTAATCAATTTGTAAAACCATCAATTATGATCAAACAGCTTGTGATATGCCCATCAGCTCATGATCTTGATCGTTGTGTAATAAAACACAACTCGTGATGCTTTCGACCTCATAAACCTCTCTGTATTCATAACTGTTGCCTAAAAGGTAGTTTGACTCCTTTTTTTCAACCTATCAAGTTCTTTAAAAGAAACTCTAAATTGGGCAATGACCTTTGACCCAACCCAAGGGTAACAGGATGGCAGACACAAGGGCTAGATATTTCGGAGAATTGTGTTCATTCATAAGAAATATATGTAACCATGGCCAGAACCTGCAACCTTTTTATCATGCAGGTTGACCCATATTATGATTGTAGTTTTGGAGAGGGCAGCTCGATGTGCAGGAATGAATCAGTTTGAAAGTGAATCACTTTTACTACTAAACTAAACAGAGTTTAAGACTGCAAAGTTGTTGCTGCTTTAGACTGATCTGATTTCAGGACTGTTTGAATGCAGTTATAAAACACTTTGCCTGGTCCTGTGACTCCTGTGAAATTGTAGCATTAAATTTGAAAATATGTTGTGGCTGCCAGTCCACAAGTCTACTAAGACCTTGTTCAGAGCGCCTCATGATTACTCTAAGTCAAGAACAAGTTATTCATCTCAGATGCTAAATTAAGGGATGTCTTATCTTGTCAAAGAGTTCTGTATCTGTTCAGAGATTATTTGCTGAACTACCCCTGCTCACCATTTAAAAGTCTTACCTAAATTACCTAATCTAGCATTATTTTGTTCCTCATCGTTGTGTCTTTAGCTCGACCCTGGTCAACCGCTCCCCTCACCACAGGAGATGCTGGGGAAGATTCTCATTAAAAACAAGAAGAAGCACCAACACCATCGACCCTCGAGTGGTGGCAGCATACGACGCAGAGAGCAGGAGGAGCAGTCATCGCCCGTCAATGGTGAGCTCGGACAACTACCTACGTCTCTTGCGGTGGCATGTAGGGCTGAGAAACTGCAGGTTTAGATTGTATTTAAGCACTCCAGCAGCTTGTTTGGTTGTAATAATGAAATCAAATCATCACACAGTGTTTGGAGTAGTTAGTTTTAGGCCAAGATGGCATATAGCTCACAGCTACATCGGGTCTCGAACACACAAGCTTAAAGTGAGGGTGACAGAGACCTTTTCCTACGCATATATGTGCAAAAACAAAAAGATTTCAAGGTACCAAATTGAAGCTGATCTTTTGCTGTTATCTGTGCAGACTGTCCTTTGAATGACAGTGATGGAAGTCAGCTCCTGTCCAACGGGGAGGAGAAGCTGGCTGAGAGGATGGTCAAAGACTCTGAGCCTCGCAAGTCCTTAGGTGGGTTAAAGAAGAGTGAAATGAATTAACAGAAAAGGGTGCCAGCATGGTATACATTTTGCTTAGTTAAGTTATTTTTATTACATTCTACCAGGAGGCGAAGGAGAGAGTGAGGAGGAGGAGGAGGACGAACCGGCGGCAGAGCTGAAAAAGCCGAACTCTGACGAGGTAAGAGCCATCAAGAACCGGACTGACAGGGGGCGTCTGACTGGTTGATGGGCTGATTGATTGATTGGTGGTATCTGCCTTCCTCAGGGTACAGCCAGCAGTGAGGTGAACGCCACAGAGGAGATGTCGACTCTCGTCAACTACATTGAACCTGTCAAATTCAAGAGTTTCGAGGTGGCGAACAGTAAGTGTGTGTGTGTGTGTGTGTGTGTGTGTGTGTGTGTGTGTGTGTGTGTGTGTGTGTGTGTGTGTGTGTGTGTGTGTGCGTGTGCGTGCGTGATAAAGAGGGAGACAGGAAGATGCAGTGACTTTGTGCTGAGAGACGGTGTGAAGCAGTGTGTGTGTGAAGGGGATGGACAAGCCCTGTTAGTTTCTAAGCACCTCTCCTGTGTAGCTCATTAGGCAGAGAGGCCGTCTGTGTGGACTCATTTGTGGCTAATGATCAGTCTTGTCGCGCAGACCTGTCGCACATAGATTATCTTAATCAATTCCTGTACCTGTGTCGATTTCGTTTGTCTTTCTTTCTCATATTTATCACAATCTTATTCTTCATCTGAGTTTTTCACTCTTTCTCTCCACCAGAGAGGAAGAAATTCTTTGAGATGTCGTCGTTCGTGGAAACGAAAGGCATGGACACGCTGAAGAGCTCCCCCATTGAGTTTGTCGAGTATCCCTGGTGGCTTGTCATCACTTGAAAACTTGAGCTTATTTTGTGGATAACAGTTTTAGTGTGCATAGGCTTTGGTGGGTCTGAAAACTGTCTGAGGTAGTGAGAGAAGAAAAGCCTTAAAAGCTGAAAAAATTTTGCCTAGTCTCGACTTTTGACCTTTAAAAATAGTGATGATTGCCTTTTATCTGCTGCAATTTATAACATGTGATAAATGGTCAGTGCACATATATGCCACATATACAGTGTTTGGATCTTAACAGCACTCCTCCAGGTACAATAAGAATCAGCTGAGCCGGATCTACCCTAAAGGAACACGGGTGGACAGCTCCAACTACATGCCTCAACTCTTCTGGAATGTCGGCTGCCAGATGGTGGCGCTAAACTTCCAGACTCTCGGTAAGTCCTGTTATTTCTGCCTCAGATGGCCTAACTTGGGCATGTAAAGTACAAAGTATCCACGGGACATTTATAACTTGTACATAAATTGTGCACAGTTACCAGGAGAAGTTGTTTTTCCTCTCATTTCCTCTCAGAGCAGAGTTTTTAGGCTTTCGATTCAATTCCAGGAAACATAAATAAGGTCTTAAAGGTCTCTCTGTCGCTGGCAGATACTGTAGGGTAGATGAAAATTTAAGGATTCTCCTGGGCTTTATAAATAATTCAAGACTCAGGAGTCAAGTTAAAGCATCTCAGTTTTTATCCCTCTAAATCCCTCCTTTCCCATCCTTTCTTGCTTTTTCTCATCCCCCACTACACCTCCCTTCCCTTCCTCATCTCTCCATTCCTATCCACCAGACCTCCCTATGCAGCTGAACATGGGTGTGTTTGAGTATAATGGCGGCAGCGGCTACCTGCTGAAACCTGAGTTCATGAGGAGGACGGACAAACACTTTGACCCTTTTACAGAAAACATAGTAGATGGTATAGTGGCCAATACTGTCAAAATTAAGGTGAGAACAAAACGTGTCACCATTTGGACATACATTTCTTTGCACAGGTTGGTAAAACAAAAATGTATAATATAAACATCCACCAGGTGATCTCAGGCCAGTTCCTGTCGGACAAAAAGGTTGGTGTGTACGTGGAAGTGGACATGTTCGGACTTCCTGCTGACACAAAGAGGAAGTACAGAACCAAAACATCCAATGGGAACTCGCTGGACCCCGTATGGGATGATGAAATGTTTGTGTTTAATAAGGTAACTAATTCACACACACCACAATTCAGATGTCTTTCAGATCTTTCTCTCACCCTTCTTTGTCCGTCCTTTGTTAACTCCATGCTCTCTAAACTCCCATGGCATCAACAACCCGTCTCTCTCCAGGTGGTCCTCCCTACGCTGGCCTCTCTGAGGATAGCAGTGTTTGAAGAAAACGGCAAGTTCATTGGACACCGGATTCTCCCTGTGTCGGCCATTAGACCTGGTCAGTACACACGCGCGTACACACACACACACACACACACACACTCTTTTCAGCTGTCAAGCATTTAACCCTTTACTGATGTACTGTATGTTTGGAAAACAACAGTCATCTACAAGCTGTTTTACTGTCCAGCACCAATGGACAGTAGTCATTTCTTTCTTTCTTTCTTTCCGTCTTCCTTCCCTCTAGGCTATCACTATATTAACCTGAAGAATGAGCTAAACCAGCCCCTCCTCCTGCCCTCTCTGCTGGTTTACACTGAAGCTCAGGACTACATCCCCAATGAACACCAGGGTAAGAACACCAGCAACAGCGCTATGCACCACACAACCCATATGACGACTTGAGACAGTAACTACTATTAGTGTAGTTGTTGCTACTGTTGTTGCTGTGCACCTCTGTCTGTCTCTCTCTCTGTCTCTCTTTCTCTCTCTCTCTCTCTCTCTCTCTCTCTCACCCCAACTGGTCGAGGCAGACAGCCGCCCACTTAGAGCCGAAGGGTCTTTCCTAGGTTTTTCCTTGCCCCCGTCGCCAAGTGCTTGCTCATGGTGGTACTGTTGGGTCTCTGTAAATGTTATAAGGAGTTCGGTCTAGACCTGCTCTATTTGAAAAGTGTCCTGAGATAACTTCTGTTATGAATTGACGCTGTACAAATAAAATTGCATTGAATTAATGCATACAGTACAAAAAGTATAAGTTGTGGTTTTAAAGGGTTATCTGCAAGGTTGCCAGGCAACCAATGCCCAGCCAAGAAATGGTCCACTATATAACCTCAACAACATGTTGTATTTATGCTTTGTTTTTTGAACAGATTAACAACAAACAAGATATAACATGTCAATTGGTTAGATTTAGAGGTGTTGGTTGGCTGATTTTGTTAGTCGGAAAGAGCCAGGCTATCTGTTTTCCCCTGTTCCCAGTCTTAATGCTAAGCTAAGCTAACTGGCTGTAGCTTCATGTTTACCGTACAAAAATGAGAGTGGTATTGATCTTTTCTGCAAATAGGTGTATTTCCTAAAAGGTTAAATCATTCCTTAAAGACAACTTGAGACTTGAAAGCTAAATAATTACATTTTAAAACCCAGAACCATATTCATCAAAAGGCCACGGTCTCGTGAAATGCCATGTCAGTAATGGCCAGCATTCAGAGACCTGAAGGGAGCCCCACACTGCAAATCAGTTCACTTAGTGCTATTAAAGTTAGTGAAGTACCTTTTACTTGCAATTAGCTTGAAGACTTCTGACTTGGACTAACCATAAAAGACTTCAAATATCTCTGCCACTTGTCCAGATCTATATGAACTTGTGCACGTCCATGACATTAAGGCACTATCTTTTTTTCTGTGTGTGTATGTTTGTGTGTGTATTCTTAGAGTACGCGGAGGCTCTGACCAACCCAATTAAGCACATCAGTCAATTGCACAAGAGAGAGACACAGCTGGCTGTTCTCATAGAGGACAACAGTGAGGTAAGACACATCTGTGTGTTGGATAATAATAACCAGCTGCAAAGAAAAAAAGAAGTTTCATGGAGGTCAGAACATGCGTGTGGATGTGAAGATATAAACATTCCCCAAACCCCCTCACTGTTGCCCAATTAGTCGGTAGTAAGTCACTAACTGTGTGATGGTCTTCCAGATTGTTGACTCTCAATCACTCAAATCCGTCCTTCTGTTGCTTTTCTCCAGCATATCACCAACCAGCCCAAAGAGGGAGAGACCAGGAGAGAGAGTGACGTCATTCCAGGAGGTCGCCTCCCACCCCCCTTCCACGCCCTCCCTCCCTACCCATTGGATGATTCTCCTGATGTCATCAAATTATCACCGCCAGGTAGAATGTTGTCTTAATGTCTACATGCATACGTCTGCACTTACCCTCACTTATTGTTAAATTAATATGTAATCAGACACTAGAGGCACCATTTGGTCTCTTTTTCTGAGCATTTTCCAAGAGGTGGTACAAAGCCATATGTGATGTGCCAGAAAACAAAAACTATTACACCTGCATTATGGCTGTGGGCAGTGTAGCAGGCAAAGAGTTGCTAAATTGTATGAGTCTGCCTTACCTCTCATGTATATTTGTATCAGCCTGCTGCAAGGAAGTGTATATGTCCATGCATGTGTCTTCACTTCACAAACATCTCAAAAAGATCTTTTCACATGTCTCAGATCGTATTAGCATGCCCAGTTTCTTCCATTAATGACATGTTCTTTTCAATACAAGATGTTACATATATGTTAAACTGTTTAGTTCATTTCTGCTTTTTTATGTCTGGTTAATTTTCCCATCATCCATTTCACACATACTGTCTGTGTGGTTCCCCTCTTTTATTTCTTTCTGTGTGTGAGTAGCACCAAGTCAGAGAGAAGACCTCATAGCCACTGTTCTGGCAGGTAAGGTCATTCCAGCATCATTTCCACACAGATATTAGTGAAATCATATGTGTGTGTGATATACTCTGTATTTAATGACCGTTAGCCAGGAGTGGCCAGTTTTCAGCAAGATTTACACTGATAAATTACATTGGTTATTGGCCATAACTCTATGTTTGTGTGTTTTTCTGTGTCCCAGAGGCCCCTGCCCAGTCTATAGAGGAGCTGAAGCAACAGAAGGGTTATTTGAAGCTGGTGAAGAAACATAGCAAAGAACTCAAAGAGATTCGTAAGAAACACCTCAAGAAGGTACATGTAATTTCTCACCTCTCCATAGAAAACGTCTGGGTCCAACTATGTTGCCACTACATGCAGAAAAATCACTTCCTTTTGCATGTGGGTGTGTGTGTATTAGCAGGTGTGGAATCTGAGTAAGGAACAGAAGAGTCGGAGTAGCAAGATTGAATATGAGACCCAGAAGCGACGCAGTCAAATGGAGAAACACCTCAAACGTAGCATGAAAAAAAAGTAAGGATGGATGGATTTATATCTTGGAAAAAGATCTAAAGAAGTACCTGTAAATGAGGAAGGAATGGAGGAAAAAGAATGGTTAAATATTTGGATAGATGGATGGAAAACAGTGTGTTAATGGGTAGAAGGTCTGTTTTAATTAAACTAACCAACTAAACCTGACCTCACTCTGTGTGTGTGTGTGTGTGTGTGTGTGTGTGTGTGTGTGTGTGTGTGTGTGTGTGTGTGTGTGTGTTGTGTGTGTGTGTGTGTGTGGCTGTGTGGGTGTGTGGCTGTGTGGCTGTGTGTGTGTGGCTGTGTGTGTGGCTGTGTGGCTGTGTGTGGGTGTGGGTGGGTGTGTGGGTGTGGGTCTGTGTGTGCGTGCGTGCGTGTGTTCAGCGAGCCCCCGGAGCCGGTGCAAAGTGAGCTGACAGCGTTGAATCAGGAGATTGAGAAGCAGACGGTCCAGCTGAGGGAATGGCAGATGCAAGAGCTGCTGAAGCTCCGACAGCAGCTTCACGCATCCGAGAGAGAGAAGCAACAAACACACCTGAAGGAGGTAACGACACACACCTACGTATGAAAAGCGTCAATGCACACTCAAGGTGACACACTCGGGAGTAACACTGCGTCCCTCCTATAAATTCTTAAATATATACACATTCCTCATTAGCTGACCTCTAAGAAACTTTGTGGCACTGTGGTACATCTGCACAGTGATCATGCTGACAGGTCGTCGTCTGCTGCCGTGTGTTTTTAGGCCTTCCAGAAGTTAAAGGAGACGGCCCATGAATGCCAAGCAGCTCAGCTGAAAAGGCTCAGGGAGACGTGTGAGAAGTAAGTGCGGCTGTTTCACCTTGCAGGACACAGAAGTCACTGCCAGAGTGACTTTCTGCTTTAATTATGATTATGGTATTAACTTTTTGCAATAGTTTTGATTTTAAGATGACTTTTGTGCCTTTTTACACCATGTGACTCTGATTCCCAGAGGTTGGATTCACAACAAACATCTCAGTTTTAATAACATTTACAAAAATGGCAAATTTCTCTATAAAACTTGCAATTTGTCTTCATTCGGCTGTATGTTGTGTCTGCAGGGAGAAGAAAGAGCTCCAGAAGATCCTGGACAGGAAGCGACAAAACAGCATCAGCGAAGCCAAGAGCCGTGAAAAAGACAAGGCTGAAATGTGAGAAACTGGAATTACAGATGTTTATTTCAGTCAGATCTTATTTTTATTCACACTTCTATCTTCATTCGTTTTTTTTCCTTTTATTTTCTTCACTCTTTGTCTTCATCCGTTTGTCTCTCTCTGCAGGGAACTGAATGAGATCAACAGGAAACATATTCAAGATTCTGTCGCCTTAATCCGCAGGGTAAGTACCCACTGTGGCACACCCACACACTCAGTGCCATTGTCATCAACTTTATTATTTACTTCAATATTATCTTTTTGCCTCCTAATCCACATTGCCATCCTGCCTTCCCTCTTCCTTATATTTTCTTTTTACCCTCCTAAAATCTTCTTCATTCTTACTCACTGCTTTCCATCCCTTATCTCTCATACATTTCTATTCCCTGCCTTTCCTGTGTGAAACCCCTCAAATCTTCATCCCATTTCCACCTTTTTCCTTCCTTCCTTCCTTCCAAAATCTTCCTCCCTTCTTGCTCTTCTTTCTCTCACGCCCCAGCTGGAGGAGGCTCAGACCAGGAGACAGGACAAGCTGATGCTGAGGCAGCGGGAGGTGCTGCAACACATAGATGAGGAACTTCCAATGGTGAGCACAAAACACAGCGACTCACACGCTGAACTGCTGTCATTGTAACCCATTCAAAAGCAGAGGCAGTTTATACCTGTAAATGAAAAATGATGTCTATATGTCATTTGTTTAAAAAAAAACTCCTCCTACTTGTGTATGGATTCAATTAACAAAATACAATGTGTTAATTTGTGCACTTTAGAGATGTTAATTGGTGTATTTTTAAAAGAAATTGGAAGCTGTTTGCCCCTGCTTCCAGTCTTTATGCTAAGCTAAGCTAATTCAATCACTTCCTGGTTGTAGCTACATACTACTACATACGTTGTATTTCAAACTATTACTTCCTGGTGTTTGTTATCCAGCTCCAGACTCAGTTGGAGAGGGAACTGGAGGAGGAGTATCAGCGACTGCCGGAGGAGATCTGCCAGCACCTTCAGATGGAGCTCCAGAACAAAGGTCTCCGAAAGGATGCCCTGTTCTCGTCCTTGTCCAATCACAGCAGCCCCAGCCCCAGCTCCGGTTCGGGCCCACCCTCCAACTGCTCCACGCCCTCCTACCCGTCAACGCCCAATCGGGGCACCTGGAACAGGACCATGGACAATAGCACTGCCTCATTGGCTGACTCCACTTCCTCGTCCACCACTCCCGTCCTGTCGGAGGCGGAGATGTCGTTCAGTTAAAATTATTACCTGTAAAAAGGAAAATACATACATTCAACTGGGGTCTATAATGATTATAATGTGGGATAGTAATGATATTAATTATTAACTAATTTTATTCCTTTTTTATTACAGACTGTTTTTGTTCGTGTCTACAGAGCTATATTATTTTTTATTTTGCTGTTATTGTCAGATGACACATGATGCGTTTTGAAGATTTCATAAGAATCATAACCATTTTTTTTTTTTTTAATACATTTTTGTGTCTTTTTGTCTTGCTTTTAATGTCATATCCTTTCATACCCTTTTCTGTGCAGCATTCCCATTGTCTGGTCAGTAAGCTTTGCTGTGGTTTTTGTGACACCACGCACTTTATGTTCACACTGTTTTTTAACAGTTTTAACTTTTTTTTTATTTTATTTTTTTTAAGCTTTAAACTGTAGAGAAAGGAACAGGGTTAGACAATGACTGCCTTTGTAAAGGTAAACTTTGTAACTTACATACAGTTGGGCCAAGCGACTACCATTATGGTAATAAGTAATTCTCACTACAAAAGTTTGATATTTTGTTTGTAGCAACATCTGACCAATGAGATTGCTTCATAATGGCCTCATGTCCTATGAGTAGATGAGCAACTATTTCCAACATGTGAGTGCTACAAATAAATATCAAAAACCAAATCTTTTTCACCTTTGAAAGTAAAAATAATCAAGGTTAGAGAAGTATTTTTCAGAATTGAGTGTCAAGAGGGAATATAAAGGAGAAGAGGGCTGAATTTTTATCCAGATTTTTTAGAGACTTAAAAAAGTAAGTTTAAAAGCTTATGTTTTGGCCGTAATGACAGTAGCTGACCAGCAAGCGGTGCTGCAGCCTTTACTGTTTATGTTAAATTGGTTGTTTGAGCTTTTCATTCATGCCAGCCTGATTATCCTATTACACTGTACTTGCTCACACACCTGTCTCGGCAGGGTTTGCAACGTCATTGGTCGGGATAAAGTCTCTGGCCCTTCAAAACCCAGCCAAGGTTGAATTGCGGGTGGTCAGCAGACGACCATCTGGCTACAAAACGAGTGTGTGTGTCTTTGAGTGTAAATAATGGAGGGTTTAAGTGATGTAACACTCAGTTTTGCACACACACATGCTTGACTGTATTTTCTACTGAGGCATCTATGGTGAGGCGCTCTATCTACACACAGTGGTACATAAATACACACACACACACACACACACACACACACAGCTTATTAGTTCAGAGGCCAAAAGTCTCTAAAATCCTCATTCCATCCAATCTATCCCGCTTGAAAATAGAATGCACACACAAACACACAAGGAAAGAACTTCAGTAATTTTACAAATATTACAGATTACTAAAGTGTGTGTGTGTGTGTGTGTGTGTGTGTGTGTGTGTGTGTGTGTGTGTGTGTGTGTGTGTGTGTGTGTGTGTGTGTGTGTGTGTGTGTGTGTGTGTGTGTGTGGCCAGAAGTTAATCTCTTGATGAGACATCTGCTTTTCGGGACAGTAATACTTTGTACTAAATGGAAAGAGTGCACTGTGGATGTGTGTGTGTGTGTGTCCATGTATGTTGTTGCAGTTAGTTTGACACTTTTGCAGCCTGGAAAAAGACCTCATACAGTCTTCAGACTATGTCTTAAAGCTGCATTATTACATTTTAATGTAAAAATGCACTCAAATTTTTAGTTTAAATCATCAAAGTGAGGCAAACACATGAGGGTTTTGCTTCAATGCTCAATTTGACAAATTATTATTGGTACAGTGTTATAATGTTGTGGTAAGAAATCGTGTCACAGCTCAGAAAGTAACCACATGGGCAGCAACTTTTACTTCAGGTCTGCCATGAGGGGAAATCGTGCGTTGCTATGAAAAACTAGTTCAGTTCTCTTGTTTCCAGAATTGTCACTGGACATAGGAACTGCTTGTGTAAATTTTATTTTAGGGTGAATATGCCCTTTAAAATATCCCTCAGTGTGTTTAAGCCTCCATTCAAGCCGAATGTTGAATGTGGTGCACATACTAAATGGTACTTTAAAAGTCTGTGTTTTTGTTTTTTTTCTTTATCAAAGCTTCTTCTCTCTTTATTTTCATCCATTAATGGAGACTTCAATTATTTTTTTTACAGCAAAATGTAAATGGTTCTTTTCTTTCCTGCCTCGTCTACTTTGAGGGGTAAAATAATGGCACTCTGTGTATATGTATTCTGTGTATATGTTTAGTTTTATGTGAATTTTACTACTGACCACAAGTGCTGAAGAGGAATGGAGGTCAGGAGAGGCTGAGGGAGGAAACACAAGTGAATTTAATTTTTACTTTTTCTCAAAGAAAAGATTGTTTTTAGATTCAGCGAGTCCTGTCTTATCCTCTCCTGCCTCCCTTCCTCTGTGAGCACTGGCTGCCTGTCTGTCTGATTATTCCCCCTCACACACAATTTGTAAACTATCATCTATTTAAATTGAATTTTAACAACTTTTTCTTTTGTGGTTATTTAAGTTTTAATTGATGGAAGAAACTATCTGTATCCATTCATTCAATTAACGCTTTGCAGAGCGTTAAAGGTTTTCATGTATCAAGCTCATTATGAATTCAGTATCTTTAAGCATTTTAATGTGCATGAAATTTAATGGAGCTCTGCTTTGTCTTGACACAGGGTTTTTCAGGTTAAACACTATAAAGAAAGCAACACAAAGACAATAACTGTTATGAAATTGTTGGTTTAACTTACCGGACATTCGTAGGACAGCAAACGTACACCCACTGGGGTCAGCACTTTCTTTAAATGAATACACTGACCTTTTAGTCTCTGATATTTTAACAGTTAAAGATTGCCAGACTGTTCACCTCTGGCTGTCCTGCTCTCTGTGTGCCACACTGCACTACAGTATGTAAATGTTGTGCTGAGCTGTCTCATTTCCGACGCTAATGTATACAGTGTGAGTATGTACTTTATTGGGAAGAGGCGGAGGTGAAACTGCCACCAGTCTTCTCAAATCAAATGGTTTGTTTTCTGAAAAAAGTTGATGCATTCCTTGCAGGCTGTCTGCTTTAGGGTCAAGGTGGTCCAAGCCATTCCAAGTCCAGTGGCAAGTATTCAGAATAACATTTGTAAGATTTGTACATTATCACCAGGTACTCAGAGGGTTTTTTCATTATGTTTGAGGTGAAAACGGCCCATTTTGGTGCAACCCCTTTCAGCTCTTTTCATGTTTAAATGCACTTTTACCATTGTCTTGTTTCGGTTGCTTGTAAAAGTCTATTGTTCCTTTGACATGGATATTAATACAACCACATGATTTTTTTCTTTTTGTGTGAACAGCAGTTGTTTAATTTTATGGTTTAGTGGCCATTTGCAAAAGAGTCCTTGAGCACATTTTGACAGGAAAGGGTTTTTTTCCTTTGCACTTTGAGCTTTTTTTTTTGTATTTGGTACTATTTGTATTAACAAAAGCTTTTTTTATACTGTGTGTTAAAAGTAATCACATAAATGAGAATGAAACATATTTTACCACTTACAAAAACCTTTGTCCTTCAGATAAATATAGATAAAATAGATAAATTGTGTAACTAAATTGTTACCAGACACGTTAAATCTAACAAATGCATTAACTGGCACTGGAGTCACATTTCTACACAAAAGTTTTTGTGTGGAGCTGCAATATAATAACTGCACCTACAGTACAGTTATATACTGTATTATAGTTTCAGACTATTTCCACAGGTGCTAATATATCAGGAAAAGATATAATATATATATGTCTAATGTGTAAAATGCCACAAACCACAAGTATATCAGATATTATAAATTTGTTTTCTTTTTTAGTCTTTGACCCTTTTCTTTAGTAAAAATACAGATTATTGGTTCTAGATGGCAGCCAGTAGCTTTAAAATTAAAATAAGATATAAAGTTTTATGTACTTTGTAGATCCTGAAAGGAGTTTGACCTTATAAGAACTGACACCAGAGTGATCAGTGAACTGTTAGCTCTGAGACTGGAAAGTAGTGGGATATGAAAGGGCTGCTTTAATACAGGATCGTTAGTTAGAAATAATGACTCGTATGCTCCAAAATACAGATCAGTTTGAAAAAACTAAATACCACAGTTCTTTATTTGACTACTGAGTGTTTGAGCCTCTCCCAGGTTTTTGGTTACTGTTTTGGTTGAGTCTCAGTGCTCTCATCAAGTCTGTTTCTGACTGCAGCTGTTCCAATAAACTCAGTGCGCACTACATGTGAAGACAAAGTTAACAGTTAGTTGGTGAAATAGTGGCCTGTTCAACAGCTTCTCAGGTGTTGGAAACCAAAACAGCTCAAAGGAAAGTGAATACTGGACTATATGACAGAATGAATGCTAATGTTGCTAATTGTTGTGTATATAAGCAACTGTTTGAAAAGTTTATCACTTTTATCTCATGGATTAGTATGAAGGTTTATATTCTTTCTGTGATGCCTTCCTTTACATACTAGCCCACATATGCTAAATCTATAGCATGTGCACTGGAAACATATCTGCTACCTACCAGTCACACAGTTAACTCCGAGTCAGTCTTTTGTCAGATTTTGTGCAAAATAGGTCAAACTCCCAAGAAGCCAGTATAGCCCCTTTAAAACATAATAATGAGACAAGGTATCAGTTTTAATCAGGAACCATGACACCAAAAAGGCCAGCATTGGTTCTCTTTCCCCCGGTTTATGCTTAGATTTGGCCTGTGCTTCTTTGGCACACGGAGAGAAGCGCAATCAGTGTGCTAGCGCCGTTAGCAAGTTTCCTTCCCACCAGAATGGAGCCCGGGGGTTGTTTCTTGTCAGCCGTGAGCTTTAACCTCTGTTATTTCTGTCCTTTTTAGGTTGAAAACACTCATTTAAAAGGACACGCACAATATCATACTCTGACACAAACACGGCAGCGTACCATTAGACACTGCGCTCACTTCAGCATTACAAACACAAACACTCCTTGACTTTACTCTTATTAGACATTTGGTGTGACTAGTCTGCCTCGGGCCCACCCTGAGGACTCTGGCTGTCATGTCTTCTCTCCCTCTTCTTTTTTTTCCTCCCCATGTGTACCCCTCTGTCCCATTTCCATTCCCTCAGTTTCACCAAATAATGAGACCATCTTTTACTTTTGGATTAGTTAAATTATGTAAAAGCAGCAGCAGCATTGTTTGTACACTTCAGATAGTGAAGGAAGCATGCATTAGAGACGATATGTAATGAGGTTTGTTGACACTGTATATCTAGTGTATATTATGATTGCTGGATATAAAGGGAATACTATACAATGATCCAGATGTAATATTTTATTGTTACTTCACAATTAATAAAAAGTATACGGCTGAACATTCAGTAATAAACTTCCTTTACGGAGCTGAACCTCGGCTGTTTTTTGTGCGTGTGCTGAAGGCTTGAACTCTCTTCTTCTCTTTTTCCCCCTCAAAATATCGGTGAAACATTTTCATCTCTGCTTTCAGTTTCTTAGTCATGTATGTAGTTGCTCATGTTCAGAGTGATTTTGTTTTTACCAGCATTTCAGGCTTTCTGGGCACTTAACCTCTGATCCATTTGTAATGAAAAGTGTCTATTATTTAACACTTTTTGCTATGTAGTGTTTTTAGAGTTGATTGGGTATGACAGACTCAGTTTTAGGGCCCAGCGTTGCTTTCACGCTCTCTTTAATTCAGAGACAGTATTTCAGAAAGTAGAGAGATTGAACTGTCAGAGGAACTGGTTTCAGTATCCCTCTTGCTCAAGTATCATTGAGCCAGAAACTAACTGTGTCTGTACACACTGACAGGGTTGGGAGGGTTACTCTAAAAATATAATCCGATACAATTACTAATTAACTGTCAGTAACCTAATCCAAGTAATTTGATTACTTTAAGTTGCTTTTGGATTACCTCAGCACCAAATATGTAAATAAAAACAAGAGAAAAGACACTAAGAAGTATAAGACAAAAGAACAATATAACTTTAGAAAAGAAAATGGAGACGGAAAAAATTTAAAGATTTCTAAAATGTGACCTTTGCCCAGTGTATTTTGAAAGAAAAAACGATTTATTTTAAAATTGTAATTTTGCTAATTAATCTCCATTTTTACTAAATCAGAATCAGATATACTTTAATAATCCTGTCTACTGTAAATGTAACTGTTATCTGATTACATCTTTTGTTCTGTAACTATAATGGATTACAATTACACTTTTTTTGTATCCTGATTACGTAACTCAGTTAAATGTAATCTGTTACTCCCCGAGCCTGCACACTGATATGCAGTATCCTGTATTCAAATGTAATTTAATGGTGTGTGTAACACAACTGTACATTCATTAAAAACAAATACTGAGGTCATGACTCCCCCACACTGCCAAATAACAAGATGAAATCTGTCAAACTTTTTCATTATTTAGATTTTATAATATTTTATTTATTATGTTTGCAGTTCAGAATAATTTTCTGCAACATTGTATTAAAAACGTAGTTCTTTCAAGGAAGTTTCTCTGGAAAATCAGGAAATCTGAATTCTACAACCAGCACCAGCAGGGGCACTGTGGCCTACTTGCATTGTCATGGATTCCCCCTCAATACCCCCTTAACAGGGCCCCCACCAGCCACTTTGATTTGGCTTTTTTTTAACATTTATTTTTAAGTGTAAAAGAAAAGTCCAGACAGCAGAGGAAGAATCTAGTTGCCTCGTTTTCGGCTCACAAACGTCTCACTCAACATCTCAACCCTCCATGTCTGCCAGGAGCCCTGCTGCTGGCTCCGCTACCTGCCCAACAGGTGAAACTGTTTGCAAGGAGCACGCTGCTTGCTCTGTGCAGGTAAATGAAAGCAACCACAAAGATTAAGATGGAGGATTATGTTTGAGTTTGTCGTGCTCAGATGAGTTGTTTTTTGGCAATTTAATGCAGGCTACAGTGGATTCATTCATTTTTGTTGGATGGATTAAAAGTGACAGCTCCTGGAAGGAAAAATCACTGGTAAGTGTCGGATGATGTCAGGCTGTCATAGACGCTAGCTGGGTGGCTTTTTTCAAAAATGATGTTTGTTGCTGTGTAGTGATGGCAGACAATACGTTGCTGCTTGAACTCCTGTAGTTTGTAGTCATGTGTGGGTTGATTATGTGGCTGTATGAGCATCCAACATCACTGAATGTCCAACTGTGGAGTCAGACTCTAGTTAAGTCGGTCTTACTTTTGTATCATTTATCTGACTGACTAGTTGTGCTGCTTAGATAACAGCAGGTCTCTGTTTAATAAAAAAAAAGAATTTCACCTATGGGCTGTATAAGGGCCCATTACAGGTCATCGCCCCCTTTGCGCCTGGGAGAGGGTTACCTTCCCATGGAGTCATGTTTCTACAGTAGCCCAGAACGGACAAACCAAACACTGGCTCTAGATATGGCTGTTTTTAATGAGTTTTGAAGCCACTGTAGTTTCTCCTTTGCACTTGGAAGGGGAGGGTGAAGTGAGGGAGTTGCAATCTGCCACTACACCACTAGATGGCACTAAATCCTACACAGTGGTCCTTTAAAATAGTTTGGATTCAGCTGCTGAGGTTTAAATTGTAAGATACAACTTGAAGAGTAATTAGAAAATTTTAATTAAATTAAATAAATAGTGGACACAAAAGGAAAAGTTGAAGATATACACTGTGTGAGGAGTCTGGGAGATGAATCGGGGTGGAAGTAGTAAATCGGACTGAAACAACAGCCGACGGCAGCAGAGAAACAAAAAAATTTTCCCAGCAACAAAGTGATTGTCTCATAGACGATGTGGCTGATCTGATTGAAGTAAAAAGACTGATTAAGAAAAAACCCCACACATTAGCCTGAGGGGGATTGGGGGTATCAGTAGAGTGTGTGTGTTATACTATATATTTCTACTGTATAGTATGTGTGTCCATCTGTAGCTCCACGGTAGCTTTGCGTCCTCAATCAATATGATGGTGATGACTTACTTAGACACACACACACATGCTGAAGTTGTGATAGTGAATGTGTCTCATGTAAACTCACTCAGCGAAGAAAGGAAGTGACACCATTAGCTGGCGTAGTATCCGACAGGCAGCTTATAGACCAGGCGGGAGCTTTATCCTCACACTCTCATCTCTTCTTCTCTTCCTCTTTTCTCACACTCATCCATCTCTCATCCCTTACTGCTCCTCGGCGGGGTCGGAAAGGTTAGTTTGAGAATATAATCCATCACAGATCGCTGACTACCTGCTGCAAATCCTCAGTAATCAGAGGCACAATGGAGTCTGAGAGGAGGCAATTGGTTTGGGAGATTATGCACATTTCATCCGAGCTCCGTAATGAATTCTGATTATCACCTGTGTCATTTCAGAAAGTCCATAACCTCATAAATAAACTGTCATGTCGCCTGGGAAATCTGTTTCAACTAGATCTCCTATTTCACAAAATCATTGTTCTCTCTTTAATTGTCTTCATCTCTGCAATTGAATCCCTTCACTTCTTCTACTTCTTTTTCTCCACCACTTTCATGCCCCTACTCTTTTCAGGCATAACGAAATCCTTCTTCTTTAGCCTCTTATCCAAACACTCACCCTCCTCTTTCTCAAAACAGACTTAAATCCCACCAAGAAAAAAACTGATTATTTCTCTATCATCCCTTTTCTCTTTTCCCCTCTTCTCATCTTTCTCACTTCCTCCCCAACTCTTTATCCCTTCTGTTTGCAAAAAGTCCGGTCTGTCCTTTCACCGCTGCAGCCACTACTGTCTGTTCTCTTTGATTGCATCTGTTTTTTTTTTTTATCCCTCCCTCTCTCTGCCGTTTTATCCCCCTCATCGTCTCACTCCAGTCTGTCTGTCTCTCTCTGTCCTCTTGCTCTATCCTCGCTGACATTGCTGTTTCTTTTTATCCTTTCACAATTCTCTAAACTGCATCCTCTTTCATTCTGTAGACTTCAGTCTCTTCTCTCAATGACTTGGCCTATCACTCTGTCTCTTTCTTTTTCCTACCTTTAATAAATATTAAGTAGATGTTAAATATTTGATCCACTTTCTGACATTTTTCTGAGCTAACTAAGCTAAACCCATCTCTGCAGTTCCGCTAAGCTTTAAGGAGTTTTTCTTTGCCTCTTTCAGCTCTTATTTCAGTCTCACTGCTCTCATCAGCGCCGTTTTCAACTACGACAGGCTGCCGCAAACAGACACTGATAAGTTAGTGACTAGCTAGTGAATATTCAGCAGGTAAAGAGACATTTTCCTTCAGGATTTGGTGGAGAAATAATATGTCTATGACAGATATTATGTCAGTGTTGTATTTACAGCTCATTCTGCTGCCCCCAAGTGGCCAAAAATCATATAGCTTTAATTCTCCAGAAGTTCTTTTGTATTTGATATTGCTTTCAGACGGAACTCCTGGTGATTTTTGCTTTATGATAGTTATCACAAGATCAACATCTTACATTTATAAGAAAATCTAAAGAAAATATTGTTTTGCAATACATAGCGATAATCAAGTGAACATTTTTCATCTCCTTCTATATGCATCAAATGAGCAACATTATATACGTAAGAGGATGTAAGATACATCATAACAAAAAATGTGCTTTAATACTCAAATAGCTGTAGTGGTAGATAAATGTCTACCAAGACTGACATTTTTGGGATCATAGTTTGTTTCAGTCTTTTCAAAAGTTTCAAATGAAACGTTATTATCTGACAGTAGTAGGGCTGTACAATATGGTAAAAACATCATATTGTGATTATTCTGACAGATATTGCGATTGTGATATGACTTGCGATTATTGTGGGAATGATCATTTCTGCATCACAAATAAAGTTTTCACAGAAAAAAAAAAGGATTAAAATCATGACGATGTAAAGACTTTTAGGGTCTGTACCAAACTTTTTTACATCGGGAGAACAGGGCCTCCCTACAGTCCTACAGTACTCCATTATAATGCTGTTTTGTCACACATTTGACTTTTTTGATTGGCATATGGCGATTTTGATAATATTTTGCAGCCCTAGACAGTAGGATACATGTTTTTTACTGCAAAAATTGTCCATCTTGCTTAACCTCAAAACTACTTAAAGAAAACCCAGCTTTGTCCTTTCCTGTTTCATGGAACACATTGTAATGCTCCCTCTATTTCCTTTCATGTCTCTAAATGAATGAAACAGAACTCAATGCTTTTTCCTTCTGGTGAGAATCAACATTTTGTTTGGTGCATACTAATACAAAGTTGTTTGTTAAAACCGCAGAGCCAATTAACCAACTAAGAAGTGTCAAAATCAGTTTATGCGTGGAGGCAAATATTGGGACCCAGGAGAGGGAAGACAATCAATGTAGCGTGTCACTTCCTGTCTTCTCCCTCTTCCCACAGGATAAATCTGTGTCAGCACC